TCACCTAAGGACCTAAACCTTGAACTCCAAACTCCTAATGCCCCTCAAGTGACTCTAAGAGCTTGCAAGAAACTCAAACTGCGGCCCTGTTCATCTTAAGTAAGGTCGAGGGGCGGCAGCGGAAGCAAACGCAAAAGGGCTGCCAGGACCAGAAACAAGCTCAGCCCACCTTAGTCTCTGAGTTTCTGTGCAGAACAATAATCTCCTTTGGGGGCTCTCCTGGATTGTGTGGCTCTCCTGCTTTGGTGAAATTGCAAGGGCCCTCCGACCTGCTGAAGCTGCAAAGTTGTGTCTCGGTGGCTGCTGCTGGCCGAAGGATGCAAGGCCTTCCTAAAGATCTGAGCTGAGGATCCAGGGAACTATAAGGCCGCGATAAGGTTCCCCGGCACCTTAAGCCGGCAAACAGGAGCTCTTAACCGTGCAACCCTGATGCCCTACGTCACCTAAATCCCAACACTCAAAAACCTTAAGCCCTGAACCTATGCGCCCTGCTGGGAGCCAGTTTCAGCCCTACAAGCCATATAAGCCCAAAGCCCTTATCAGTAGTTTCCCCAGCCCTAGCGGTGCAAGGACGGCATCAAATAGCTTGGTGATCGGTTCTGCAGATAGTCGTATCCATTGCATACGCACGTACATACATACTTCCTCCCTCCCTGCCTACCTGCCTGCCTACCTACCTACCTACCTACCTACTTACCCCTACCTACCTACCTACCTACCTACCTACCTACCTACCTACCTACCTACCTACATACACACATACATACCTGTATACATACCTATACACAGGCACATACGTATATATTTATGTATGTACGTATGTACGTAAATATGCACGTACGTATGTATGTATGTACGTGCGCATGGTTGCGTGCATGTATGTACAGGTTTATGTATGTGTATCTACGTATCGACATATTGGTGTATCTATCTATTTCTCTGTCTAAGAAATTGTGCATGTATGCATGTATGCATGCATGTCTGTATGTATGTCTCTATGTCTTGATGTCAGTCTGTACTGTATGTCTCCGTATCTGCATCTGTCCCGTGCTTGCTTTCACCAGGCTTGAGGGAGAGCCTCCCGTTGCAGGACGCCCGATTGTTGGCGGGATGCGGAGTTTATATATATATATATATATATGAGAGAGAGGCGCCTCTAGGGTCTAT